CATAAGTATAACATCAGCAAGGGATCTAGTGCCACTATACTATCGCAAATGGCGCAAGTTGAAGGCTCAATCGTCAAATGGGACGAAGCAGAAATTATTAAATCGGTACATTCACCGACATTGGCGAATTGCGCAGAAAAAATTGAAATATATAAAAGCAAATTGCATGATTCATGCATCAATTCTAGAGATTCTGAAGGGTTGCCTTCGGCCTGGAAATACTTTATCAAACGATTGGACAGCTCTTAATTTATTGCGGCGATTTTAATATTTTTTTGCATAAAGTGCATTTCACTGAATTTCTATATAACGTTTTAATATTTAATTAACCTATGCTTATTTTTTCATATACATTTTTTGTTATTTGTAACAATAATTTTTATTTATTTTATTATTCTTTATACATTTATATATATATATTTCGCTGGTTATTTTATTTTATTTGTATTTAAATTTTTGTTGTATTTTATTTATATTCGAATGTTCTTAGCCTGGCGATGGCCAACTGATTTGGCTGAAAACGTTTGCTTTACATTAAATTTTTTCTCAGCAAATTAAGGTGTTGTGTTTTTTTGATTCACTAAAAGGTAATTGGGGTTCCATAATACCACCTTGTCCTCTACATATTTAATGCGATTGTATTACCCAGCGAATGGAGGCGACGTTGCTCTTTATGGTGTAACCGGGGCCGTGGAGTCGCGTAAAAATCTACCGACTCCGACCAAGGGCGGACTGGTTACCGAAAGAGACGCGGAAATTCCGACGTCATCGCGCCACCTCGGAATAAAAGATTCAATAAATAGAGTTGTAATAAAGAAAGAACGTAGAAACTTTTTATTTTAAAGCTAAAAGACTCCTCTAAGTAATATATAGCCTAAATATGTATTGGATAATTTTTACTTTTCCGGCTGTTATATTTAACAGAGGGAAAGTTTTTGTGGCGTAATAAACACTAGTATTGTGTTTTATTCTAAAGACACATGGCAAATTTTCCATCAAATTCCTTCATCGCTTTATTCAAATTCCTGTAGCGCTCGGTCAAAAATGACCCCTCCCAAATTTTTACATTTTTGGACTGGGGACACCTCGAAATTTCGAGATACGCAACAGATTCGAGGTTTTCTTCTATATGTGTGGATGTTAGACCGCGTGTGGGGGGGCACGATTTTGTTCACTCCGTTCGAAGCTTTGACGACTCCGACTCCACAGCCCCGGGTGTAGCTAAATCGAATTTAAAATCAACAAATAATTGATATTAAATACAAAACATTATTTTTCTTTCTTTCTTTTCTCTAAGGGTATCGGCCATGGTTTTAACAGATATAGAGCTAGACGGACTGCGCGGAATATTTTAAATAAGGTCGTTAATTCTCTCTTAACGTTAACGAAAATGAAAAAATAATCTATAAGTTTATCGCGTAACGCAAAAATGGTATTCGAACCATACAATTTCTCGACGAGTCATTTCCCGTACGTAAGTAAAAACTCGTTCGACAATACGAACTTGCGTAGTTTCGGATTATTATTAGCCTAATGCCGGTAGGACGGGTCCGAGTGGCGTGCCCGGCCTTACTTCCTCCTGGTTAATAATTCCCCCGATTTGGCCGAGTGGCCCGTAACCGCTACCGCCGGTGGGGCGGCAATTTTCGAAATTTCGGTCCCGTACGTTCCCCTCCAGACGGACGAAAATCCAAACGGTATACGGAAAACGTCGACGATATAGCGACTTCCGGTCCGAACCGGAAGCGGAACGAATTATTTAATTTAAAAGACGATTTAAAACGGCAACGCGGCTGCCTTTTCTTAGTAGAAAAACGTTTTCGTAACGCTGGCTCTCCGCTTAGCGCCGCGGAGCCGGGCGACGGCCGTCCCGCCGCCTCGGCCCCCGACGGAACGGAAGGCCGTTGGCACGGATTTATGGGAATTTTTTAAAACGGCGACAAAACTTACCGCTTAATTTTCAATTTAATTTTGCTAATGTAATATTTCCTACTTTTTTAGCCTTTGGGAATTTCCACACCCCGCCGTACGTAGCGCTAAGGACGATACGTACAGTACGTACCGTACGTTGGGAATTACGGGTGCCGGGCGAAAATATAGCCTAGACGAAGGCAGATTTAATTAAAAACAGATAATTGCCGCGTGCGTGGAGTAAGAATTTTATAATTTGATTTTTATCGTATAAATTTGACTAATTTTCTACAAAAAACGCAGGCGTATACTCCGCGGCCGAAGTAGTTAACGGCGACGACGGAACGGATACGGCACCCCAAACAGGGACAATACTTAACCATGGAAAGTAAAAATATATACAAACGGACAAAAATTATTGCCTAATTTAAAACGTACCCCGTGGCTTTTAGCACCGTCTCGCCCCCGTACGTGGCACTTTTGCCCGCAACGGATGCGGAGAATTCGAATCACGCGACTCGGGGTCCGAGCGGTTAATTCCAGGCTGGTAAGCGTTTCGTCGGCGGGGAAACTCCGCCGTTCGTTCGGTCTCCTGGTAGACTCGCTGTTGCCGGCTGGCGTACATCATTTACTATACCGTTACAGACAGGTCACTCGGTGTAAATAAATTTAATTACAAATGCGGGACCGAAAGCTAACTATAAAATATAAAAATTTATAATATTTCTTCCATCGTTAAAGAACCAAGTAGAAAAAGCCATATCTATCGCGGATTATAAATAAAAATAACCACCCGTGTACGCGCTGGGGTTCGGGTAATCGACCGCGTAGCGTTCCTAACCGTCTCGAAAAAGGCCCCGACCCTGGCCATCCGGAGGCTTAAAATTTTTTCCAGGCCCGAGTAATCGTACGACTTTAACCCGCGGGGGAAATAACGCTATTTAATGTAACGTCTTAAATAAAAGGCCAAATTTAAGTTCGGACGACTTTAACCCGAAGACGGATCGAGCCGCGTAGACTAAAGGAAAAGGACGGGGTGGGCGGAGGGGACCGCCGTTCGATCCCACCGTTCTACCACGGCCGACGATCGATACCATCTCCGGCAAGAAGTACGCGAACACGACGTAAGAATAAAACTGCCCACTTTCGGCTGCTTTTATTCGTCGGGTTATTACCGGATTGAAATCTGTTTACTTCGTACGCCGCGCCTTTATCGTTACCGTTCGAACACCGTAGTCCAACGCCGTTTTATGTAAAAACATTCTTATCGGGTTCGTCTATTCGTTCCGAGTTAAAGCGACGAATAAAACCAATTTTCTTAAGTGGCGTTCGAACGCATTCCGGACGGGAAAAGAAGGAAGGAACTCACCTCGGACCCGCACCTCCACCGTCGTCTCGGACCAGAGCGAAGAGTCGTTCCTCCGAGTGGCGGCGCAGGTGTAGTTGGCCCGGTGCCGCTGGCCCAGGCTGGGAAACTCCAGGACGGCCACCAGGGAGAAGTCGGCGTCGCTCTCCGTTACCCGAACGCCTGCAAAGCCCCAAACCGCCTTTCGTTATTGGCCGCTAAATTAATCCTTCGCGCCTCCGATAAAATCTGGAGAAAGCGGAATCCGTCGCGGGTTTAAAAGGGGCCGGGCGAAAGTTATAATCGAAATTTGCCACCATCGGCGCGATTAGCCCCTCTTTCCGGCGCCCTTCCCTCCCACCGCGGGTCCACCCGCCGCGGAATCGACTTATTACCAGTCGATTCCGCGGCGTTACTCGGTACTTACGACCCGAGGAACCGGAGACCCTCCCGGCACCCCATCGGCCGCCGGAATGGAGAATAAATACCTGGGGAAACGGCTGAGCCGCCGAGGATATCCTCACCCGGAATACGCAATTTTTAAGTAGGCCTACAACAATTGTGTTTTCTCTCGGCTTTTTCGTAATTAACAAAATAGTAGACTTTGGTCTTAGCGTCGCGTAAGTATAAACCCACCTTAGAAATGCCGCAACCACGCAATAATGGCCACAAAGTATATAAAATTCTTAAATCTACGCCATCCAACGCTTTCGTCGTACGAACGAAAACTGCGCTTACTATATTCCATTTATTCGGCCGGGTAATTACGCCGAGGCGGATAAGGCGGTATTTTTGAACGGAAAACCTTTGGCCACTTTAACGGACGTACAAGTCACGTCGAAAGGACGATATTCGTCGGCCTCTTTATTTTTACGTATTGGCAGAACCGGGTTACCATTCGATTTAAAAGGTGCAATTACCGCCTCTTCATACCGGGATTTTAGGCCACCGTCCAGTGAATTTTATCTTCTACCATTTCTAAATTAAAAGCGCTCGCTCTTTCCCCGGCAGTCGCCTGGACATTGGCCGACTCACCTCCGGCAGGGTCGTCTTCCACCGGAAGGTCCGGTAGTCCGGGTCGTCGTCTGCGCCAGCCCACGGTCCGGAAGAGAAAATCGTCGGCCCGACAGGTCAGGCGAAAGGCGTCTCCCTCCACCGGTCGTGCCTCGGACGGCTCCGCCCACAACCCGTCTTCCACGTCTGAAAACACAAAAAAACAAACGTTGGGAAAGGAGGGAGAGGCGGCCGAATCCGGCGCGGCCGACACTCACCCGTCACCACGAAAGGCACCAGCAGGCGACCTTCTCCCACGAAGTTGGACGAGACGCAGCTGAAGTTTCCCGTCTCCCGGGCCACCACTTCGGCCCGCGCCCGGCGGCCGAAGAGTCGGACGGCGGCCACCCGCCCGGAGGCCTCCTCCCAGTCCCGGCCGCCGCTCCTGGTGGTCTTCCAGCTCCTCCACTGCCACCGGGGCGGAGAGGCTCGGTGACCCTTCACCTCGCACGACAACACGTAGGTGCGGTTCCGAAGGTACCACTCCCGGGCGCCCCGCACCGTCGGCCGGGGTCTGTCTGAGGAAGAAAGAAGTCCGTCCGACATTATCCGACATTATGGGACGGGGAAAGTAAAAGGAAGGTGTACTTACCCACCACCCGCAGAAGGACGGTCAGGTTGCCCTCCGCCTCTCCCGAGCGCACCCGCAGGGTGTAGTTGCCGTCGTCTTCCGGCCGTAGAGAGGAAAGCCTCAACTCGGCCACCCCCTCTCCGTGTCGAAGGACCAGGCGCGAATCCGGCACCAGCGGCCTTCCGTCTTTCTCCCAGCGATAGTCCACGGGTCGTCCGGCCGGCACGATCTCCGTCCGCACCCGGAAGAGCGCCCGCTCTCCCACCCTCCTCTCCACCCGCTCCTCTTCCTCCTCCAGAGTCAGACGGACGAACGGCTTCTGTCCCCGACCTGCGAAGGAAAAACAAGCGCTTTAAGGCCGGCCGTCTCGGGTCCGCCCGAAAAAAGTCGTCTTACCGTAGATGCGGACGCTCTCGGTGACTTCGTACTTGGTCCCCTGGGCGTTTCCCGGGGTCACCACGCACGTGTAGTTGCCCGAATCCGTCCGCCGGGCCCGCTCCACCCCCAGTCGCCGGCTGGAGAACCTGGTGCGGCGTCCGTCGGGATCCTCCCGGTCCACAAAGTAGGACTCCTCCTCCACCCAGACGCCGTCCTGTAAAGATACCGCGCGTAAGTTTGCCGACTTTTAGGGAAGGATCGTTAATCCCGTGTCGGGACGATCTAGGGTCGTTGGCGCGTGGGTGTGGCGGAGGAGACACGGATGACGAGAATCTCGGAACCCCGTTTATTTTAAACATAAAATAACTGGCACTACGAAACAAAAATGTTCTTAAACACAATCGGCTATTTACGAGTCTCGATGTTGTTCCGCGGTTCGTCGATCGAAGGTGGCCGAGGGAAAGCGGTGTTAATCGGTTCTCGAGGCAGGTGGGGAGACGGTCGATGCGGCCACGCGGCCCTCGGGAAAGACGGGAAAAATTTTCTTTCGCGCGTTGAAACGCGGTGTCTTCGTGGTTCGGAACTTCACTAACCGAGTTCGAGCGCACGGTTGTCCAGTTTACGGAAAGTAAGTTTGTCCTCGAAGATCGGGGATTATATCAATCTCCGTTCCGCGATTCGTTTATTCCGATTGGCTCCGCCTCCCTTTTTCCCGCTCCCCATCGGTCTCTCGACCGTCCCTAAGCGAAAGACGAGCCCCGTTCGAGTCACGAGAAAGATCCGCTCGGAAGAATCTACTCGACAGCGGCCGTTAACTCTGGATGGAAAGTGTCGACGGAACTTTGCAACTCATATTTCCCCCCCCCCATTGTTGTCTAGTCTGTGGCGTTTTCGAAATTTAACGACCCGAGGCCGCGTCCTTTTTCGTCATCGACCTTTCCCCTTTCCAAAATTGCTGTTCTAATTATTTGTATACGAGCGCCCGGTCAAAGGTCCATCTGTACCGGGGGACGCTGGTTTACAATTATTAATCATTTATAATTATTGCGTTTTGTTTATTTATTTTTATTTTTTTATTTCTTTATTTTATTTTATTTAACCGAACGACCCTACGACCGTTGGTCTTTTTCGAGGATGGAGGAAAAAAACTAAAGATACAGACATATATATAATATACAATAAACAAAACAACCAAAAAAGAAAAGAGAAAGAATAATAATAGAATAAAAATACAGGCGACTAATCGCGGCTCAATATTTTTACATCCCGTTTAAATTGCCCGTAAGTACTGAAATCTTTGTGTTCTTCTTTTAAAGCATTCCAGTTATATCTAAGTCTGGTCCAAAACGGCGCTTAACTTTCGGTTGAACCAAATTATTTTTCCGTCGACAGTTGTAGTCGGAAGGCCTAAGGTATTTATTAGTGATGTAACGAATATTCGGTTACTACTCTGTATTCGGCCTATTCGGCCTATTTTTCGCTATTCGGCCGAATACCGAATACCTAAAAACGGGAGTAATAAATAACAAAAACGCAGTAAATTAATCATTTTAGTATTTAGATTTAATGTTATCGAGTTAGCGTTGTTTGTTTGTATTTATTTATAACTTGTAACACGCACAAATTAAAAAAAGAACGTAATATTAGTCACTTGTATTCACAATTTATAATTACAAAGATCGGCACACGTACACGTCTATTCGTTCGAGAATCGTCGCACATCTGAGCGTCTGACCCTGCCTATCCTTCTTTTTAAGCGCTCGTATTTGCTCTTCCCTTTCTCTTTCCTCTATCGCTCTAATCCACGTATGCCTGTTCATACATCACAATACGCCCTCGCGATACTTTCGATTGGCCACTTTTCCGTGGTAGATTTCCCATTTTACAATTACGTGACTCGTAGCCTGGTGATAACGGAGAAAAGAGACAGATAGGACGTCGATATAAGTCGCAGTTATGATTTCACAGATTCGAGACAGCTCGGTAGCCCGAACGACCCCGGGCTTTCGCCCGTGCACGCTAAGTGACTTTCATTACAAACATTTAGCTTTCCGAAGTCTATGACGACAATCGTTTGGCATTGAGGGGTGCGAATTTCGTGCCAATAAGCCGCCTCGACTCGTTCGATTATGTTATCGACTCAATTTCATATTTATTTTCACATTTTCACTTCGCGGTCCTTCTCTCTTCTTTTTCCGTTATTTATAAGTGTAGGTTATTACATTGTTATCCGCATTTGATATCATCACTTATCACATACTGCCGTGACGCTCTTGTCTGAACTGCCAAGAATTAACGCGATTGGCCAAGCGTAGTGACAGCGGACCAATAGAAAGCGAGGTCCCTGCCATAATGCGATTTGCGCGCCAATTTTCGTACGTGCGTTAATCGAGCCGAATAGTTTGGCCGAATATTCGGCTATTCGGCCACGCTCCTGGCCGAATATTCGGTATTCGGCCCGGGGCCGAATATACTATTCGTTGCAACACTAGTATTTATTTAATTCGTCACTTATATAAGATTCTTTCTCGCTGGCCTTTATTACTTTAAAACTTTCTAGAACAACTGGTTTTTTATATAAAGCTTTTATTTTATCAATTTTGATGCGGTTATAAAAAGAAGTGACGGAGGAATCGTAAGGTAGCTTATATAAAGCTCTTATAAAGTTATTTTGTATAACTCGTGACCCATTGGATACAAAAGAAGAAGCCGTACCCCGTATGGAAGTTTAGGTTCCACGCAGGCGCGATAAAGGCGCGAAACAGTCTGGAAATTTAAAAAAGTCGTTATTGTTTTCGGTGTTGCAATAAATGTAGATAAAGACGGCGTTAAATTATTTATGCGATTATTCCGTCGTAATTTATCATCAATTTCGATAGCTAAATATTTTACAGTATTAACTCTACCAATACGTTCGTTTTTTATTCAAACTCGTATATCTTGTAAATTAACTTTTTTGTTTTTATTTGATAAACAAATATAATTTGTTTTATTTTCATTTACGCTTAAGTTATTATTTTCCACGTATTTAATTTAGGCAGCCAAGAGTTTATATTATTTTCGACCGATGGAAGATTCCGATCCGCGCACGATATAATATTATTGTCGGGAATAGTCTCTACAATATCATTTATATAAATATTAAAAAGTAGAGGGCCCAAAATGGACCTTCGTTGGCTGGAAAAGGTTTCGATATGGAATTTTTTCGCTTAACGATTTGATAAACGGGATATTAGCCGTTCCGACGGCACTCCTCTCGATCCCACTTTAAACAATTTTTTGTTTTAATATCTACGCTATGGAAAGCCTCGGTCGGATCGATAAACACCGCCGTTACAATATTTCAATTATCCAGACTGTTAGGCCTACTAATATATTGTTTAAGACCAGTCGAAGCGTCGATTGCACAGGCCGTACCGATTATTACATGTAATTTTATATTTATTGACAAATTGGAAAAATCTTTTACACAAAGCCTTTTCAATTATTTTAGTTATACTCCGAACAATAGTAATCGGACGATAGCTCTCCCAGTTCTGTTTACATCCTTTTTAAATATTGGGATTACCAGATTGTGTTTAAGCTTCTCCGGAAACTTCCCGCGCTCGAAGCATTTATTAATTAAATAAGATTATATCCGCTATTTATCTTAAAATAAATATATTTAACTTATTAATGTCCGGAGTATTTGCTTTTACACTGGTAACGTCTCTCCCAAAAGACATTTCTGTTTACATCAACAGTACTTTATCCCTCGTCTCGGATTCGTACGACTAGCGCAACTAATCCCATCTTTCATCGCTTTTTAACAATGGACGATTGTTTTCTACTTTCGTTTTAATAAATTTCTAATAATAAATGTTTAATTTCAACCGGTTTTTTCGGACCTGGCGCTCGTCGTCCTCTTCTCCCCCGCCCTTCTTCGGCGGGAACGGATGGGTAACCCTCCCGGGCTCCGTAAATTTCGCCGCCGTCCGTCCGTCTTTCCTTAATTTCCGGAACGAATAAACGAAATTGCAGAAGGGATATAGAAAGTTTAGAAGCGGGAAATACATTCGGGCAAACCGGAAGGCCCGATAAGTGCTTTGTGGGAATACCGAAAGTTTCCGCCAAACCGCGTGGGTTTTAATTTTTGCTGGGGGGCGAGGACACCTCTGGGCTTCCCCCTACGTCTACGGAGAAAGGAGAAGCCGTAGTTTTTCGGAGCGGCGGAAAAGAGTCCGAACATTTCTCCTTCCGGCCACAAACGGCTCGAGCGAAGGAGGAAAAGGGGAAGCGACACTTACGTTTCGTCCGGGAAGACGCCAGTCGATCCTGAAGGTGGTTCCGTGTTGCGCTTCCACCGAACAATTGAGAGAGAACGCTTCGCCTTCTTCCGGGATGTCTTTACTCCGGGTGACGAAAGGCTCCAACGGACGCGGCGTGTCTGTTCGAAAAGAAAAAACATTACCTCACCCGGGCTAAACTCGGCCGGGCCCCTCCGGCCCTCCCCCGCGGGGCTGGGGGAAACGGCGTTTACCTACGGGCGGAGAGAAAACCCCAAAAACTCCCCTCCGTCGGAACCAAGTTTCCTCCCGGCGGGGCAAAAAACGTTTTTAAAAATTTCTTTCTAGCGAAGGGGGGCCCGATACCCGCCACCCTCAAATATAAGGGGCCGGGTCGGAGGGCCCGGCCCCTTATATTTGAGGGTGGCGGGTAACATTCGCGCCGTCAGAAAGTATAATTCCGTACGGACGAGAGTAAATTCGTCTTATTAAAACTTACTGCCTCGGGCTCAATATTTTATAAATGTCGTCTCCCTTCTTTAACGACGATCTTATATATAGCCTATAAGTATAATACAGAAGCGCGCACCACCCGTATCTTTATAGTACAGTACGTATCTCGTCTTTAATGCCCGTATCTATCTTTACAAATAGGTACCGTACGGGACATACTGTTAAATTTCCGGTTTCCGGGGAAATAGCCGGCAATTTTCGCCGGGATAATAAAATAAGTAAATCAAGGCCAAAGCGTATTAAAGGAAAGGAACTTACGGTGCACTTGGACTCGCAGGTACTCCTCGAATCCTCCGAATCTGTCGGTTTTGCAGGCGACGGATCCGTCCAAAGTGTGATCGGCGTTCCCGACCACGAATCCTTTGCGCGGGTCGAAAGTCACCCCCTCTCTGGCCGAAATGTCTTCTTCGTTCACCGACAGGTTTATCTTCAGGTCGGAGAAAGTGGGAAGACAGGGCAGCAGGATGGATTTGCCCGAATTGGCCTGGACGAAGTCGTTGTAGACCACGATGGGATTGTCTCGGTCTGTCCGACACCCCCTCACCGTTAGCCGGGTTTTAGGCAATTAATTAACGGAGGAGAGAAATTCTTACCGTTGACGAACAAATAGACGGAGGCCGAATACCTGGAGTCCCCGCAGGCGGCGTTCCGGTAGCAGCAGGTGTACAACCCGGTCTGGTAGTAGGCGACGCCGACCAGGGTTAAATTCAGTCGGTACTCGTCCCCCTCCGACGTCTCCGATCGGCGCAAGTCGTATTCTTCGTGCTGGAAAGGCTGAAATTCAAATAAAGATGGATTGGTGGGTCCGACGAAACGCGCACCGGCCTTCCTTCCTTCCTCCCTTTCGGGCGGATCTAGGCGGGGACTAACGGGACTTAAGCCCCGGGCCCACAAAAGTCCAATTATTATCATAAATTGGTAATACGTTTTACTTAACAATAAGCGCGTATCGTGTAGGAAAAATAGTTAACACGAATACCGGACGAATCGAGCTTATTCGGGCCAGTCGATGCCCGCGGAGTTTCGATTGTCGGTCGGGCGGAAGAAAAGAGAAAAGAGCCGGATAAGCCAGTAGAGGACGAGGCGGTATGACGGAGCCCCATTTTGGTTGTAGTGAACCGTAAACGAGGTATCGTAAGTACACCAGCATTTTTTGTGCGAAAAGTACCGCTAACCATTAAACTAGATGTTCCTAATTGGATTTTTCGCTAGCCTAATTATAGGTATGGTTTTTGAAGACTTCCCTACAAAAAGTCAGAAAGTCGGGTGGTAATGGCCGTTAGACGAGCGCAACGTGTACTTCTTCGAGGAAAAAATTTTTCTCAGCATATACTGTATATATAAAATCTTATTTTTTCCTTTTAAAATTAAAATAATTAATTATAAACTAGAGATTATACAAAATATTATCTTTCGTCGATGATTTAATGCGTTTAATCGAAATATACGCGGCAATAATCGCGTCGCGGACAGAGTGACAAATAAGTAAACAATAATTCAATTAAGGCTGTTATACACGGTAAGAAAATCCTTTGAGGATTAACCGTGATTTTTTTTTCTATCTGTCCATTTTTAAATAAAAAGAATTCTTTATACGTTGGGAGATATTTTAAGAATTTTTCTAAATTACTACGTTCGATCCAGCCAGTTATATCCGAGTTTTTTTCGTCTGTTAAGCGCATCCTTTGAGGATTTCCTTACCGCGTATACCAGCCTTAATTAGAGGGAAGGCGGGCGGTAATACGAAACCTTACCGTACGTTTCCAAAAAATGCTTTAATCTATCCAAAAACAAATAGAAAAGTACAAACGATGTTAAATAATTACAGAATTATTAACTGCCACGTATTTTAAGGCGAATTGATAAAAATAATAGTAAAGAAACGTACAAAGAAGAAGCCGATCATTTACAAAAATCACAAATATAACGCTCCTATAGCGTTAGTTACTGTATCTATTTTTACTTTTTTCGTTCGTACTTTTACAGAAGTTAGACGGGGTCCGTATTTCGCGCACGGTCGTCTCCGATTAACTTACGTCCGTCCAGACTAAACTTTAAAAAACGCCAACACGGCGAGGGTTAATACGTACCCCCAAGTCTCCGGAACGAAGTACGCGCCTGGGTGAACCTACGACTAGGCGATTTAACCCCAGCGAAACGCAGTTGGGCCACAATCCGTAATACCGCCTTCTCCCTATACAAATTGGCGCCTCTTCCGCTTTTAACGGCGGCGCCATCTTACGCTTAGTTTAAAACTGACCGACGCCGATTATCGGTGATTTTTAACGCGGACTTAACGAGAAAAGAAGAAACGGTCGAAGGACCAATCCAAAGCCGAGAAAAGTTTCCACCGTCGTCTAAATTGTCCTAAGATTTTAATTGGCCAATTTTTTCTTTACTTCTCGCGCGTTTTAAAGCCAATCGTTTTCCGTAAAACGGTTAATTTGCCTTTAAATTAAACTCCGGTCTGGTTACCGTCCTATTATCGTCGCTTCCGCCCGGACTAAAATCTCGCCAAATGTTTTATCAAAGATTTGTAATATTTATACAAAAATACGACGTTATTAACCGTAATCGGTAGGGATTTAAGCTCGGCCACTCCGACAGCCTTAAAATAACTGCCGCGTTGGTCCTTCCGAATAAAGCCTTACGCGGCGTACGGCCAGAGTAACGATTTTAAATAACCGGATGGACGGGCGACCACCGCCTAGGATAAACCGGACCCGCCGTCCCTAAGCTTTCCGTACGCGACTCCGTTCCGGAGATTAAGGAAGGACGGCGGCAGTTTATAGACGAACGGCCCAAATAAGATACCGGGGAATTATCAGTCGGACGTAGCACAATCCGTCGATTAACGAAAGAGTGGGGATTTAGAGAAGGTACTCACCTCGGGCGTTTCCCACTTCACAGGCAGTTTTCCTCGGCACTCCAGGGTGACGTTGGAGCCGGCCGGATAATCCGCCGGTTCCCGAACGTCCAGGATCCGCGGCGGGTGACGGGCGATTCCTCCCCGCACGCCTGAAACACGCCACTTTATTTATTATTATTTCCTATTTCCGCAATATCGAGCGCTATAAGTAATTCCTCCGAGATGGTCGTTTACGATTGGCGGCTTTTAAACCACGCTCTTCTATAATTTCGTTTAGCGGATGCGCCGGGGGCGGAGATGGATTATTTTTGGCACGGAAAGGCGAAATTAGGAAATCTCGGCCAAAGAAGTTTAAGCTTGTTTATTTCGATAAACTTTGAATTAAAATGCCCGAAACGGAATAATTATTCGGACTCGGGACGTAGCGACGCGTTTCGCATCAGGTGGCTTTGTGGGCAAACGCCTGCCATTATCTTAAAAGCCAAACGTCTTTCCGGGTTACGTACGAAGCGGAAACTTTCCGTCCACGCTTTTACTCGGACGCCGGAGCCACGACTCGCCGTTTTACGTGGCTGCGGTTAAATCGGCAGTTCCGGCCCGACGGTGGTGGAAGAAGAGGGATTTGCCGGGCGCTACCGGAGGGAACCGGTACCGGCCAATCTAGCTGTATAGTTGTATTACGGTAAACTCTTTCCTAAAATTTCGATTTTAGGCAGCGCTTACGCGTCTTCCGCCTCCCCAGTATGTTTTTAACTATAAGAAACCTTTTTTATAGTATTAATTATTACGAAATGGCAGAAAGATTAACTTCGAGTTAAAAGGAATGGTAAATGCCGACGACCACTCCTTTAACCGCCGGATATCTTTCTTAATCTCGACCCGTCCCGGGATATTAGACGAGGCGGATTTGACTTTTTTCCAACCACCCGAATCGGAATTGGCAAAATCTCGGTCTCCGGGAAAGCCAAACGTAATTGCTAATATGGAGTGTAAAGAAAGAAAAACGAAATTTGCTTATTTTGGAAAAATTAACCCAGACGATAATTTAAATTTACGTACGGGAACCGTGGTTTTATTCCATTTCGAATAGCTACTTGGCTAATATAAGCTTACGTTTGGTAAACACCGGGTAGGAAACGCGGATGAATGGACTCGAAGATAAGACTAGATCTTTATCCAGATAATTAGCCGGGCCGGCGTGGCCAACGAAAGGGGGGGGGGGCGACGACTTCTTTTATTTCATTTTTATTTATTCGTTTCGACGGCGCAAACTGAAAAAAGTACTTTCGCCTAAAATACGTATAAAGGTATACACCTTTATACCTATTTTATTCTTGAACGGAAAGGAAACATTTTCGAATACTTGGAAATGCGCCGACCGGGAGGGAATACTAAATAAAGCCGGAGTGGGGAGTCCGAGGATTATAGACCCGAATTCGGGGAAAGGAGAGAAAGGCCGAAAGATAAAAAGTAGCGGGAAAGGTTACGTAGACCTTCCGGTACGCAAATATCCAGCCTTAATTTCCCGACCTTCTCTCCTTTCCTCGCATTTGGGTGTACAGTATAATCCTTCGACTCCCCACTCCGGCTTCATTTAGTATTCCTTCCGGCGTAAAAACTATCGTTTGGCGCGTCGGCTACTTCTCGGGCTACGTATTATTTATAAATATATTAGTCGAATAAAAATGTTTGGTCGTTTTTTATTAATTACAGACCCAAATAAAACAAATATTTCTTTTTTTCAAATTTTCTTTATAACGAACGAATTTATCAATTTCTAAGTGGCGTCCGTACAAGTAATTTTTTAAAATATCCTTTCTCGCCATAAACTTTTAATGCTTGTTACTATAATCTAGACGCGTCGATCCTTAAATATACCAGCGTATTTAAGGATTGGGCCGCTCGAGTATATATAATATAGCCTACTCGCGGCCCGGAGAAACGGAAAGGTCGGACACCCCCGTTATAAGCCATTTATCGTCCAGAAAAGAATATATAAAGTACTGTACATATAAAAACGAAAAGTGTAATAAATTAATTAAATGAAACTAAACTAAAAAGTAAGAAATAAAAGAATAGTCTAATAAAATAAAATCGATCGTGGTTTAAGCCGGTTAAAAGCATCCGCCTTGGAGATTTTGTCCGAAACGTGACGTGGGTAAGTCGCTCGGCACCGCTCGAACGTAAACCGAAGGAAACGACAATTGGCTTAAATCGGGCACGCGGCCATCCCGCAGCTCGGTAACGTGACGCCATCTAGTGGGGATAAACTCCGGACAGGTATCGAGCGACTTTTTTGTTATTAAACGTCAAAGAGCTTTCCCCGGGGTTAATTACGCCGGCCATTTCCACGCCAAAAATAGGCGCGTTTGTATTTTATTATCTCGTATTTTATCGCCTATCTCTAACGGTGTAATTACGAGAACCGCGGTCTATCCTCCGATATATTTAATAAACGGCCGTAGAAATTTAATGGGAATAAAGGTCAACTTTATTTTTTCCAACGATTCATTTATTATAATATATACAGTAGTATACAACTTTATTTAATTCGGGACCGGGAGAAATAGTATTTGGGACGAAAGTACTTGGGTATTTTTGGCATATTTTGCCAACGCGTATTACGTTTCTTACGCGTTCTCCTCCAGTCTAGGCGTAGTCGTAGTCTATTCCGCGCCGTCAAAAATAGAACGCCAATGCGAATGCGTCGATAGCCTACCGACTTCCTTTGTATATACAGGTGTATATATAAAGGATGTCCTTTTATTTGTATATAAAAGACTAAAATTCCGAGTAGCGTGCCTTTCGAACGCCGTATCGTCTCTATCGCCGTCGATATCTAATAATAGCCTACCGTTCGAGTTCTTACCGTTTTACGTGTGTTCTATTTGTCGACCCGTAAATACCATCCTAAATAGCAGAAAGTTACGTTTTCGTAATCCGTTTCTATAAGCCTAGTTCCCTCTCTTTCCTCGAATAGCCCGTATTTGAATTTCGAGAACTATCGATAAATCTTCTACCGACTTTTAATCCTCCCGTCTCTAATCCGGTCCTAACCTTTCCCGGCTCGACTTTAATCGCTCTCTAACTCGTTAATAAACGCGATATCGGTTATAAATAAAGTATACGATGGCTCCTTTCTGGCCATAATTCGCCTAAAATGAATAGAAGATACGGACTAAAAATTAAACTCGATAAACTCCGAATCGATCCTATAAATAATATTTTTGCAACGCTTCGAAATACTCGTTCGCATTTCCGTAATTAAATTTATTAACCCATTTCTCCGACTCAAAAGGGGGGTTCCCGAAGACGTGCCGTGTCGATACCGAATAGACCGGTAACGAAATCTCCCAAACGTATTTCGAAACGAACACATATCGCCAGCGCCAATCGATTTAATTAATTAATTAAAGCCTAAACCGAGACGGGCAAGAGTCCTATTTCCAAAAGGGAGAAAAAAAATATTTTGCGTAAGGTCGTAGCGGTAAATCCCAGTCGCCGCGCTTTTCAAAGTATTTCCCGTTTATTGTCGTACGTAACAATAAATTATAAAAGAGAAATAACGGACGAATTTTGGCCAAGCGCGTCGAGAAATAATTTTCAAAAAACTTTTTCTTTCCGTATACAAAATGACTCGGACAATATTCCCTCGCCGTTTGAAAAGTACATTTTAAAAAAGTGTCATTAAATTTATTTTTTAAAAATTGTAATACAGTAGAGAGTCGATTATCCGAAAGAATTCCAGTCGGCAAATTTAAATTTTCGCCTGTGCTGTGGCGCTGCAATCTTTGGCTATGTCTCGAGCTACTCAAATATTTTACGTTTTTGATACTAAATTAACTTCTGAAGTATAATTTTTTATTGCTTTTATATTTTTCAATATACTGATTTTGTTTGTACAAAATAAAAAAATAATTTTTAACCATACAATAGTCTTCGTTAGGCTTAACATCGGCGAAAATTCAACGCGAAGCGACACGCAACGGAGAAAAATGTCAAGATGGGATAAATTAATATATTTTTTCGTACATAATCTGTTATCCGAAACATCGATCTTCCGGACAACCCCAGTCCCCAATTGGTTCGGGTTAGGGTTTCTCATTTCCCGGTCTTTTGCTTGTCCCGGGATCCCGGGATAAAAGTGAACTGTTTCCCGGGATACCGGGAAATCCCGGGATAGAATNTTATTTTTTTTAACCCCATTCCCGATAACCCGGCATTTTCACAAACTCGGCCACCCTTCGGTCCACATTAGGCCGAGTTTTCGAGACTCTACTGTATAGCCAATTTTACCCGTTTTCATCTGGTGCAAGAATTAGGTCCCCCTCTTCCGAGACTGATTAAAGAATTTCTAGAGGGTCTAACAATATGTTCGATTTTCCACAAACCGCGTTTAAAATGGCATAGTAAAAGGCGAGTTCTTCGGGTTAATCCTTAAATAATATAATCGAGATGGTTGATAATGATAATAATAATAAGCGCAGAACCTAAACAGTTAGGAGATAAAAGTTGAAATTTGATACACAGTTAGAGTACCTCACGAGAATGTACACTAAGGATTTTTCGAAATTCCTTCCCGCGGGAGAGGAGGAGAATTGAGTCTTATCCCGAAGAACTGGTCTTCTACTGTACTATTTTAGATGCGGTTTTTTGCGTTTTTAACCGGGTTTTAATAGGGTAGGTCATGAGAGTGCGCACTAAGAAGGTATTTTTGGAAATTCCAACCCCCCGAGGTAAGAGGAGGGAGTTGGTTTTAGTCAGTATAAAGTGTAAATAATAAAGAAGGAAAGTAAATATTGACACATATATTATACATTTTGACAATTAATAAATATTTTAATCATTTCCCTCTTTCGGGTAACCCAAAAACAATAAATCCAAAATAAACGAATTCGAACGAATATTTAAATTCGTTCCAAATTCGAAATACGTAGACTGCTTTTACCAAGCTCCGATGGTCCATAAAAAAAGACAAGCGTAAATAACAAAATGAATTTATTACCAAAAGTTTGGTACAAACATAGTTACCTTTCGATATAATCACCGTGAAGATTGAGGCATTTTTCATATCTGTAAACGAGGAGCTTTTCCATCCCCTTGTCGTANCGGAATAAAAATATATATAAAATTTCTTCATTTTTTAATC